TTTTTATCAAAAAACAAATTATAATAAGTAAATCTGAACAGCTTGAAACAAACAAATATCATCGGATTGTGCGCACGAACGATCAGTGCAAAGCGTCAGCAAAAAGATGGCTTTGCCTGTTTTTTTTACAAACTTAGACCCGTTCCGCAAAGTATTTTCCAATCATTGGATTGCGTTGGCCGATTTGATTCTGTTACACTCAGTTGCTGCAGAAGCCGGTTCTCCAACTGTTCTCTTTGACACCGATTCCAAGCTGAGGTGCATTTCATAACAAAAGCGTAGAAGCTGGGTTGAGTGCGATACAGGGAAGTCATGGTGTTGGAAATCACTAGGCTATTTTCCACGGAAATTTCTCGCAGTCTACGTAGAACTCCAGCTAGTAGGAGATCGAAGGGGTGCGGTCCACACATCAAGTCGAGCTCAAGACTGGGATTTCTGGCGAGACTCTTAATTGGACTCTCTTCTGGTCTGTGTTCATCGGGAGAGCGCTGCGCTGACTGACCCCGACGCATGGCACAGACGGCTGGCAGATATTGAGTGAAGATGAGAAAACTAATGAGCATGGACACAGCTCGTGATCCGGTCTGATGTCGCCTGTACAAAGTATCAGCTGCCCTGATATTTGAGTTCTGGGACGGCATTATTGCAAGACTGCCAGGATTGTGTGTACTGGGATGCCGGTGGAGTGCTTTTAAGGCAAATCTGCTGAACATTCTGCACCAATTATCACAGCGGTAGCTCCGGCATGTGCGCACTGTGATCCGCCCAGTGGGTGTGCATGAGTACGCATCATAGACGACAAAGGGATTGGTTGAACTTGTCGTCAGGGTGTTGTCTGTTTGCGCTAGGTGGCCACTAATCAGACGAATGAAGGCATAAATGAGACAGCGTTGAAATAAAGGCACATCTGACCTTTATTCTTCTACTAATATAATTGGAGGCTGGAATTCGTTGCTGTCTGCTTGCACATGTGCGCCACAGTAATGGAATAGTCTACATACTATTGTGGCAAAAATTCAGAAGGGCATTAGTCAAAACTCTTGTGTATGGTGGCTTATTACAAAAAACAGATAGTGAAAGCCACACGACGATAAAATCACCAGAACAGTTCAATTTAAAAAAA